GCACTCACCCTCGAACAGGTCCAAGTTGATGGCGGCACTTCCGAGACGATAATGTTGGGCTGCCCTTTGCTCACGCGCCTCGTCCTTAGGAGTTGTTGGGAGTTTAGGAACGTAAGGCTGAGCGAGGCAGCATTGTCTGGGCTCAAGCACTTTGAACTGCGTGATTCCAAGAGGATCGAAGGGTGTAGCATCGAAATTGATGTCCCGAATCTCGAGACAGTCTCTATTTGGGGCCCGTGGATCTGGTGTCACAGCCAAAGCGCATTATTGTTCTTTCGTCTCACGAGATTGAGTCTCAATAGTGTGATCCTGTCGAGTAAGTCGTTTGACCTGATATCGTTCGGCTGCCCGACTCTTGCGTACTTGTCCCTAGATAATTGCTCCGGTTTCGAGGAATTCCATCTTGCAAGTGATTCAATCATGTTCTTGCGCATCAGGACCACAGAAATATTGCTTAAAGGAGTTAGGATTTGTGCCCCGAACATTGTCAAATTTAAATTCACAGCCCGTATTTCCAAGGGACCGGACACATTCTCTTTCACGACCACTACTTCCAAGGAGTGGTCCTCAGAATTATTACTCTATTCACCTAAGTACGATCCCGATTTGGACACCAATTCATGGTTCCTTAAGTTGAGACAAGTGCTGAAGGCACTAAGTGGGTCTCAGATTTCTCTGATTCTGGAGATACGCAGCGGCCCTCAGGACGTGCCTTGTAGTGCTGTTATCAATGACGAGCCGCCTGTGGTGTTGCGGGACTTGAATTTTTATACTTGTGAATGTCGTACAGCGTCTTGGTACACGGGGTTTACGAATGGCTTGTTTCGTGTTTGTCGACCGAGTCACGTATGGAGTTGGGTCGCGTACGAGTCGAACGGGAAATACGGGCTCTCGGAATTTCAGTTAAACATCTTGCTTGCAAACAAGAAAGTCAGGACCGAGCCCTACTTTTGGAGGCACGATTTGGAGCAAGTGTTTGTGGAAAGTCTCGATGGGAAACAATGGCAGCTCAAGCAGTGGAAGAAGCTGGGGGAGTTGCGAAAAGGAAAGAAAGATAGGGATCTTCGCCTTAGATTGAAATGGAGATGTTAGAATGTTTCTAACAGACTCATAGCTAGTATGATGGGTTAATATGGCTTGAGTTGAATCGGAGAGGTCGGACAACTGCATAAGTACTACTACGCCTGCTTGCTTTTCTATTTACTATACATCTCTCTTATTTGTAAGCTTTTCGTCTGATGTCATTTAGACTGCAAAAAAGTATATACAGTGTAGCAATTATTGAAGAGAGAATATTTATTGAAGAGGAATGAAATAAACTGAAATAACTGAAGAGAGAATGTTCATTGAAAATTAATTGAGATATGGAGAAACAATTATTGAAGAATATTAAGGAACAATTTGACTGCAACTTTGTGACGGCATCACAATACATTGGGTCCAGCGAACCAACGCGCGGTGACTACAACACGGTATTCGAAGCATAACTTCCGTAGTAATACCGACTGTGCAGAGTGACAACGTTATGTTGGGTAGGAGTTCATCGACAGCAATGTAAAAGGTAATGCGACATATCAACCGCGTTTGTCATAAACATGGCAAAACCCGTGTGTCAACAAGGGATCGACGTTGCTAATGCAAGTACTATTTTCTTAGATTCTATGTGGTGGATAGAGCTTCACCGTATCCAAGCAGCCAAATATTTCTATGCTGCCTTTTTTTTTCATTCAGTACACCACAATTGTTCTCACCTCCATCATTTCCTTCCATGGAAAAGCAGGCGGCTAAAACATAGGAGAATACCTCCGTAGCAATGGAGGACAGAATATCCGAATTGCCAATACCTATACTTCACCACATCTTCTGCTTCCTCACCCAGAAAGAAGCTGTCAAAACTTGTGTACTCTCCAAACAATGGCGCCACCTCGGATCAACCCGTCCCAACCTCGACTTCTCCCAAGAATGGTTCAACAACACCAACCAAAAAATTTTCTCCGTGGTCGAACGAACTTTACAGCGTTGCCGTGATGAAAGCCTCCCCATACACGAACTCCGTCTCGACGTAACAGCAGCCGTCTCCTTTCTCGGAAAATCGGTCCCGATAGTCGACCGCAGTCGTGTTCTCGGCGACCATTTGCCTGTGGTGGTGGTGAACTTGGAATACTTGTGAATTTCACACGGAATGTTGGTACTTGGGCTTTACGCATGACGTGTTTCGTGTTTGTCGACCGAGGCACATAGGGGGTTGCTTGGCCGTGAGCGGATTGGACACGAGGCGCGTGCTCTCTTACTTTCAGTTCAACATCCTGTTTGTAAACGAGAACTTCATGACCAAACCCTGCTCTTGTAGCACGATTTCGAGCAAGTGTTTGTGGAAACTCTTGAGGGGAAACGATGGCAGGTCGTGCGGTGGACAAATCTGGAGGAGTTGCGAAACCGAAAGCAAGACGGGAAGATTCGCCTTAGATTGAAATGGAGATGTCAGAATAATGCACAAGGACGCTCGTAGCTCTGTTGCTTGTGTTAATTAAGCCTGCTCTGATTTTCTAGTTGTTTTCCAGCTTCATTGATCTTCTTAATTGATCTTTCTTTGTTATAAGTGCCAAAACTCCGGTTATTACTCGCATTCTCGATGGATTGACTAATCTAATGAACTGATATTATTTCGCATTCTAATTTGCCCAGTTGTGTGCTGGGGACAGTTGAGCTATGTAATAATGTTTTCTAATGTTCAACATGTTCAATAACCAGCAGAGGAATCAGCAACCAAAGTATCAATCCAATAAAATTAGGAACTATTTTATATGAAAAACATTTTGTGAACTATTGAAATCATGAGCAGAACACCAACCGTAGTCCGCAGCTGAGCAAACAAACATCAAATCTATAAACTTAATTTCTTAATGAGTTCCTCCCTTTGCACACAACGCCATTCGACTCCAATTCGACCATAGGCCTCAACGCGTACTTCTTCTAAATCCTGCTGCCAAAAGCGGTCCTCCCTTTCTTAATGAGGAAGATCCACAAACAATCGACGAGATCATTCGCTCCTCCACGACTTCATTAGTTATTCCATACTGTTTAGCCGCTCGAGCGCCATACCACTTATTGATGAAGTGATCAGCAGCCTCTTGTGCTGCATGTCAATCACCCATGATATCTTCATTAGTCTCTGAAAGAGGATAGAAAGATTGTTCACTGCAAAAATTTCACAAAACTGTTTTTTGTAGTAACACTCATTCTCATGCAACTTTGAAACTGAAAGTGCCAATAATCTAGTTAGGTCGCCGGTCAACGCTGTCAAAAGGTCAATAATTGAATAAAAAAAAACATAGAGATTAAGTACTAGCAGAGCAGGTCCTAGCCTTTCTTAGACCCTGGGCTAAATGTAAAAAAAAATGCCCCTCCTTTTTTGTTAAAAAAAATAAAAAAATCCCTTCCTTTTCGTTTCATACGATGAAATTTATGATATTTCAACAATTACTTTGTCTATCCCATACATTGAGTAACTTTGGATGAATTTATAAAAATAATTGCCCCTCATTCTTGTTTTTCAATGCAACAAGCACTACAAGAAAATTATGAAATTCCAACAGAAATTTATTATAATCGAATGATTCCAACAGCAATTCCAACGGATATTTCAATACTATTATTTCCGTTGGAATTTTTCAATGGATTCCAACTAAAATTCCAACAGAAATATTCAGTTGGAATGAGCTTCCCATTGAAATTTCCGGTGGATTTTGACGATTCCAACGGTGGATTTTCCAACGGGAGTGGAAATAAAAATTCCAACGGAAATTGCATATTTCAACGGAAATTCCTACAGTAAAATGCCGTTGAAAATATAGCCATTGGAATCACCAAATTCCATCTAAAATTCCAATGAAAAACACATTCCAATGGAATATTTCCGTTGGAATTTTCGTTGGAACCATTCCAACGGAAGCTATACCATTGGAATATCCGTTGGAATTTCCATTGGAATATATTACCATAGGATTTTCCGTTGGAATATAACAATTTTCTTTTGTAGTGAAGCTAAGGTAAATAAATAATTTATAAGAAAATTTATATGAAACTAAAACATAAGTATGAACCAATAATGCTATAGAGCCAATGGTTGGCTCCCTTATGGAGGTATGAACACTATTATTTACAAAATTATATAATTATGTGCAAGTTGAATATTACAAATATATACATCCTTATAATTTGTGGAGAAAATTAACTCTCCTTTGTTTTAATGTAATTTTATTTAATAATAACTCATATTATTTTACAGTTTGTTACTTAATTAAATGACTTTTTATTCAATGAGTTGTCATTTTTTTAGAATAAATAGACATTATAATCTATATAATACATAAACTACAAACATACACAAAAATTTAAAAAAAAAAAAAATCTAATAGGAATAGAAATAAAGATGGATTCGTAGGTTCTCATCTATTTCATAAAGTGTTTGTTCATTTTAATTGTTAGACATTTAGTTTTTTTTTTGTTGCAATTAATGTTTGTGGAAAACCTGCTTAGATATTAATTTAAATGTCTTGGGATTCTTTGGGAAAAAATAGATATGCGAAATGTAATTAGGCCCATCATGTATTGGGTCGGACACAATCATCACAATATCATTCATTACTTATTATTATTATTTGTATTATTAATTGGGCAAACAAAGGCCCTAAGAATTGTGCCCCCTTCGAATTGGGACCTGGCCTGGGCCTTGGGCTGTCGCCCAGGTCGCCCTGGGCCATCGCCGGCCCTGAGTACTAGCCAAACATCTCGGCACTATTCAACAGCTAGATTTGAGTCTCATGTTCCTATTTTAGAATTGGGAGTGAAACCCATTTGATCCAATCTCCAAATTCGATAATTAGAATAAAAAAAAAAAATTGTGTTTTGTTTTCGGCCACGCCGTATTTGGAAGTGTTATACATAATGAAAATTTTGTGTTTTCGGATATTATATATACAAATCCTATGAGAGTAATCCATTCTAAATAAGATTTTCCGTAGCTCTGTTTTTTCATCATATTGATAAGGTTGGCAAATTTTACAAATTTTCTATAGTTTAAATACGTTTAAACTCTTTCTTAATCAAAGAGTTATATAGTTTTCTCTCTCTCTTTTTTTGTCGTTTTAATTAAAGAAATACCCTTTTCTTATTAACAATATAACCGGCAGTAGGGTCATTAAGCAGACCACAAAATCATTCTCACACCATCACACTATGAAAAAACAAAAGCAGGCGGCTATAGCGAAGGAGAATACCTCCATAGCAATGGAGGACGACAGAATATCCCAACTACCAATACCCATACGTCACCAAATCCTCTGTTTCCTCTCTCAGAAAGAAGCTGTGAGAACTTTTGTGCTCTCCAGACAATGGCGCCACGTAGGATCAACCCGTCCCAACCTCGAATTTTCCCCAGAATGGTTCGACGACACACAAGAAAAGTTTGTCTCCATCATCGACCGTACCCTACAAGGATACCGTGATCACAACCTCTCCATACACAAACTCCATCTCGACTTATCCAGCTCTGAATCACGACCCGTCGTCTCCCTTCTCGACAAGTGGATCCCGATAATAGCCGCCCTCAACATAAAAGCGTTCAAACTCAACTTTCTTTCATATACTCGACCGTATTACTACCTGCCCTCAGCAATCTTGGCAGCCGAATCCCTCGAAGAACTACACCTGCGCAAATGCAGGCTGAGCCCGGTCGAGAGCTTGCGGTTCAAATGTTTGCGCACACTCACCCTCGAATATGTCCAAGTCGATGGTAGGACATTCGAGAAGATAACTTCGGGTTGCCCTTTGCTCAGGCGCTTGTTCCTTACTAGATGTGAGGGGTTGAGAAACATTAGGCTGAGCGAGGCGGCATTGCCTGGGCTCAACCACTTTGAGTTGTATGATTACAAGAAGATCCAAGGGCCTAGCATAGAAATCGATGTCCGGAATATCGAGACAGTCTCCATCGCGGGGGGCCAATGGATTTGTTCTCACCGCAAAAGCGAATTCTTGTTTTCTCGTCTCACGAGTTTGACTCTCTGTGGTGTGATCCTATCGAGCGAGTCGTTCGACCTGTTATCGTTCGGCTGCCCGACACTTGCGAGCTTGGCCCTATATAATTGCTCCGGTTTCGAGGAATTCCATCTTTCAAATGATTCAGTCAAGTCGTTGAACATCTCAACCAGACAAACATTGCTTAAAGGAGCTACGATTTGTGCCCCTAACATTCTCTTTTTCTTTTTCAGTATTTCCCAGGTGCCTGACACATTCTCTTTCACGACCACAACTTCCAAGGAGTGGGCTTCAAATGTAGTCCTCTCTTCTTGTGAGGAAGATCCCGATTTCGACGTCAATTGGTGGTTCCTTGAGCTGAGACGAGTGCTCAAGGCACTAAGTGGGTCTCGGATTTCTTTGTCTCTGCGGATGGACGGCGGCCCTCAGGACGTGCCTTGTAGTGATGTTGTCAGTGACGAGCCGCCAGTGGTGGTGCAGAGCTTGAATTTTGATACTCGAAAGTGTCGCACAACATCTTGGTACTTGGAGTTTACCAGTGGCTTGTTTCGTGTTTGTCGACCGAGGCATGTAGGGGATGGTACCCTTGTTAGCGGGTCGTACAGGAACTACAGGCTCTCGGAGTTTCAGTTAAATATCTTGCTTGCTAACAAGAGCCTCGTGACTAGGAAATTTACGCCCTACTTTTGGCAGCAGGATTTGGAGAAAGTGCACGTTGATGGGAAGCTCGTGCAGTACACAGACTTGTCGGAATTGCGGAACAGGACATATGATGGGATAGTGTGCCTTCAATTGAAATGGAGAGGTCAGACTTCTTGGAATTGCGAAACAGGACATATGTCGGGACATATTACTGCGCTCGCTTGCTTTTCTTTACTGTATATGGCTCTTGCTTTTATCGTTATTATTTATCAGGAGCTGGTGAATTAGGCTGCAAAATAGTATGTACAATGTAAGAATAAGAACAAAAGTGAAATGACGTTTTTTTGCCTGGTTATGAAAATCATTTTTGGACAATTAAAATATACAACTGCGTTTAAATTTTTCAATTGTTATGTGATTCTGTCACGGTTTTGACCCAAAAAAAAATGGTCTTAAAGTCGTACTTTCGTGGGGCAAATTTATCTGAGGATCGTGAGGGTTGTTGAATGGGTGAGGGTTGTTGAATGGGCTGGTTCCTTGCGTAGCAACTAATGATCACTCCTTCTCGGCCGGAATGGGCGACCGCGATTCCTTTCTGGTTTTTAGGTCAGCTATCTTAGGATTTGATGACAACAAGTCACTGCTCATGTCCCAAATGAGCCTCGAGAAAAGATTTGGGTAATCAGCAGTTTTTGTTGCTTCTACTTTGATGGAGAATGGTGGTGTCCCACAATCCGAAAGAGGCCATTCATGTTTACGCCATTCATGTCTAAAATAGGATGGATTTACGGTTCTGTGACAGAAGATGTTCTGACGGGTTTCAAGATGCACGCCCCAAGGCCGGCCTTCAAGGGGTCGGCTACGATCAGTCTTTCTGTTCGTTTGAGTCAAGTGCTCTGGTGGGCCTCTGCGGAGCTTGACTTGTTCAAGTGGACTACTCTTCTCATCCCACCCACAACTCTCCTCGTTGTCAACATAGTCTGGGCCATGGCCGGATGTCTCCTTTGCCATAAACAGCGGGTACAAGTACTCTTTGGCAAGCTCTTCTTTGCCTTTTGGGTCATTGTCCACCTTTACCCCTTCCTCAAAGGCCTTATGGGCCAACAGAACCGAACCCCGACCATCGTTGTTGTTTGGTCCATCCTCCATTGGGTCCGGTCGACCCATTCACCACCCGGGTCACAGGCCTTGATGTCGAGCAATGCGGAATCAATTGCTGATGGGCAGAGTTCAACTTTCTTTCTGTGTAGAGATTTGAAATTCTTTAAAGCCATGAGTCATAGTGATGAGATTTATATACTGTGTTGGTGACAAGAAATGGATGTTGATACCTATAAATTATTAAAGACTCATTTAAGCGACATTTAATTTATTATTATTTTGTTTGTTCATATTGTTTATACCTATACATTGTTCCTGCTTTTAGATGATCTGAGATCACTATGGCAATGTAATTCTCCAACTGATAATATTTTCATAAAGTTTTTATTATATCTAAAGTATTCCTAAGATTAACCAAATTCTCAAAATTTAGTACCACACCACAAGAAAACGAAGAGAAATATATTTTTTTCATCACAAATAAGGCTGTTAAACGAAACGAGTTAGTTCGTCGGCTTAACTCAGTTCCTTAAAGCTTGAGTTCAGCTTGTTAAAACTCGAAAATAAGAATTTTTATATAATTTTCTATTGCTCAAATCACTAAAGCTCGGGTTTGGCTTGTCATATTGATAAATGAACCGATCTTGAGCTTGTTTACTAATATGATCGATCTTGAACTTAATAATGCCCTAGAAGAATGCGCTAAATGTGCTCTTTCGTTGCTTTTAGTTTCTAAATTTTTAAGTTAATAAAGAAAAATATTATGTTCAGCCATAATAAAAAGAGTGAAATTTAAAATAGAATTTAACTAATTTTATTTATATAAATAAAAAAGCGAGAAAATATCTCAAAAATCACAAATGAAAAGATCAAGGAGTTTACTGAACAATTTTTTCAGCTGATTAGAAATAGTTCTAGATGGTTGTAAAAGCTATTAAACATATGAGATCATAATATTGGATGAAATGTGGTTACAAATTTGTCAATAATA